AGCAAGGCAGAGCGCAGAGCCCGCAGGGGGCCGGAGGGGGCGCCGCAAAAAAAAACACTCCCCCCTCGGCGTACAACTAATAATAATGCACTATGGGAGGGGGAGGGGGTAGGGGGAGAGGGGGAAAGAGCGAGAGAGCTGTGGGGTTTGTTTCTTATTCGACACACTCCCCCGTAACCCCTCGTTTCTTATGTAGTAGGGCAGCAGTCGCTGTTGTGTTTCTTATTGAGACATTTCTTACTGTGTGACCCAGATTGAGCTATGTTTCTTAAGCCTATTTTCTTATTTTTCGTGAAAAGGTGAGCCTCAATTTCTTAACAAAATATTTCTTAATTGCGGGCGGGCGCTAACTGTAGGGAAAAACGATGAAGAATGAACATATTTGCCGACTCCGACAAAAATAACAATGTTGAACAAAAAGGCGGTTCGTTCTACACTGTAGAAATGAGTACGATTCCAAAGTACGGCAGTGGAGCCCACGATACAACCTTGCTTGGTACAGCAGTAGCGGCGAGGTATCACCCAACCTCGCCGAAGGTATCTGGGTCTCCGCACACCCCTGTGCGAAGTCAACCATACCTGTGCGATAACCAATTAAAACCCTTAGAACCCGGGTTTTTTTCCGCACCCCCTGTCTGTCTGTACTGTGCCAACACCCCGGCCTGGGCGATGTAGCCGATCCGTGCCAAGACCCGCATTTTGACGGTAACCTCGGACTTACAAAAAAACTGGAACGTTACCAAGAATGAGACAACACGCAGTGAAAGGGTCCCCACCCCGTCACACGACATAACACTGAATGAAGTACATACAGACTGTAGAGGCCACCGTGTGAGAAAGTGTGTGTCGTTTGGATCGAGTCGTGGTGTGGAGGTCTGGATATGGAGATTCAGGAAAAGCACAGACACACGTACGACAAGTGGAAGGTTGTGTTGTACAACCTGGTGTTTTGGCAGAACGGTTAGAAAGATCAAAGGGGGCACCGTAGGTAAGAGATAATTGATAGATAGGTGAGTTCCCAACATTTTGTTGTTCGTGGTGTGTAAATCACAAACGCCACACCTCCCCACAGGGAGTTTTCTCTATGTCGTGCGCTCTACAATACGTGCAGAACACCCCCCGCCATGAGAATATCCCCCCCCAAAATCTGGCCGAAGCCTCAAACTTTGAGTAAGCCCTGGGGCATTTTAGTTTTATTCGTCGTGGTTGGACTATTTCCGAGGCATTACTCCCGGGATCTTCATCGTTTCATTCGCCTCCGCAGGGTGGCACTCCTCGTTCTGCAACAATGGCCCCTTCCACCCATAAATTTAGTGTGGGGGGTGTCCATCACGACATACATCCAAGCACCAACCACTAGCGACCTTCGGACACAAGAAACACATATACCCACACACAACCAGCAAATCACATCAGCCACAACTCCGGCGTATAGGCAAGCACCTCTACCCGGTGCTTTGCTGCAGCACACTGAGAACAGGAACAACAATATACCAAGTAAAGACGCCAAGCGCAAAGGCTGCAAGCGCACATCGCAGGGGGGCATTTGTCTTCCACCTACTCCTTGAGCCTATTTTAGGGGACTGTGTTCAACATTCAACAAAAGAAAACTAACCTTGCACAGTTGTACAGCACCTTTCCATGAAAAGACAGCAAACAAAAATGAACTCCAAATGGAAGACCGCCTACCGAAACTTTCCCGCCGCCCTTGTCCGTGTAGCGACCAGTGGGTGCTTGTCGAAATGGCGCAACCCACGCCGACCCTCCCTCGTCCACCGCCTCTCTCTCGCTGACGACCCCCTTGGTCCCCACCTAGACGACAACCCCCCCCCCCCCCCCAACAGCACATACACAAGCACCTGTCGCCCTCCGCCGGCCCCGGCCCAGCCAAAGCTAAAGCTCCTCTCTCCCCTGCCCACGACCCCAAATCTACAGTCTCCTTGAGGCACCACGTCCACGCAAAATTCCCCGCCCGCCCGACGAAATTCTTCCCTAGCCCCCCTCTGGTTGGGACCAAGTTGTGTCCGGACGGTATCCACGCTGCTCGTCCAGCAGTATCGTCATCGTCATGCGCGTGTCGACTTCGCCGGACCCCGTTCGCTTGTCCATGCCAGTCTTCTTGATATTTAGTCGGTAACGTATCGTTGGATGTTCGCCTTAGGCATTAGATCACGAAATTCGCAGGGGCAAGGCAACAGCACGGCAGATGGGTTTCCTGTCAGCTGACGCCATGTATCCAACTCACAACCCAGGGCCTTACGCACGACAGCGCATTGTCAAACATTTGTTTCGGAAAAAACATTGTCGCAACAACGAAATAAATACTCGCACGAGGCCCCACGGCGAGGTAAACAAGCTGGGGGAAGGGGTGGGTGAAGAGGGTTGGGGGGATGACGGCGTGCCTCGTTGCTGCTGTTTCTCTTCCGTTAGCGTCTCCGGAAGCACCCCTCATCCCACTTCATACCCTGTACCATACGTTACTTGGTACTGCACCGAATCCCCGACGGAAGCCCTGTGGCATTATTGACGTTTTTCGAAAGGCGGTTTCCGGAGGCACACGCCCGAATAGCCGATATCTGTTCAGTTTTAGGTGGGTCTAGGGTGGTGGTGTGAGGTGTCGGAAGGGAAGGATTGAAGCCCTTGCAGACAATACTAAATGCTCAACCTCTTTGGGTTTGTGACCCAGCCCGAAAGATAACCCAGGAGTCAAAGCAAACCGCACAGACCAGTTCCGAAGCATTGAGCACGAAAAACAAGTCCGGCTCTGCCCTGCTGTACCTCAGTCAACCTGTTTCACTGCTGTAGAACCAGTGCTAAAACAGCGTTGCTAAAGAGGGGGGTTGTCTCAAGTTGGTAGTCTACTTCAAAATCCTCCCGACAAAGTACGACAGGGTTTGCTGAAATACGCATTAACTTCATCCCTAGATTCTAACTCCACGTAAGCTCCGCCCCTACATAGTCGACTCAATGGTGGGCTACAAGAATACGTCGTACACCAATAGCGGGTTTCGAATCTACCGTACATCGCCGTAAACGAACGGTTCTGTACTGCTGGTGCTGTGACCACGCCAATACAGACCCAACACAACTGACCCTTTTGCTGCTAAATGCCGACAATTTCACGTCTTCGTCCACAACAACGCTTTGCACCTGTTGGTTCAAGAGGTATCACATCAGTGTAGAGGTAAAGCACATACCTGTACAGCAGCAGTAGATTCGCCAGCCACGTGCGTATAGAACGGTCCGTCGTTGGTGCCATGGGACACGAAGCTCAGCTCCTCCGCAACGCCAAACAGCACTGTGACATCGAAGGACGAAGCTCTCAGCAATATCCTCCCCAAGTCGGCAAAAGCGAACGAATCTTCGACAGCGTGCCAACGCCGTTTTATGTTCCTGCACGTGAATTCGATGCAACAGCAGCCAGCCTGTTCGATGAGAAACAACAACCAATACAGGAGCGTAAAAGAACAAAGACACAAAACAACTGATGGACAAATGCCGATGCCAAGTGGTACAGAGGTCGAGCCTCGGTAGAAGAGGCTGCCATTTGTAGCCAGCGTGACAACGGGAAGCGGATGTTCAAAAGACACCCGCACGGATGTTGAATATGTACGGTACAACCGGAGCAGGTGTGTCAGTTCCCCACACAGCAGCACACAGCAGTTTACAGCAGCAGTACCGGAAAAGAGCACAAAGAACAGCAGTAGTATAATAGCAGAGGGCCGGGAAACCCAAGCGGAAACGGGTTACTGGAGACAAACAGGGCATGTCCGTCTCCCTCCCTCTCTGCCCACTTGCCTGGTAGTAGTCGTCCTTGTGCTCCAGGGTATGTATGTGCCAGCTGCTCCATCATCAGTTGTTGAACGCGTACTCGTTCATCGATGCGTACATCCATCCTCGAGAGTGTCGCCGCCTACAGATGTCCGCGAGGAAGCACGGAAGTGTGTGCTCTTCCCCATATAGGTGCCGCGGCTCGAAAAGAGCCTGCTGCTTCTTTCATCAACGAGCGTCGATATGTATGACCACCCCTGTGTTCAGCCCTGTGCTGTCGGGTGAGGTAGCTGCTGCGTGCACCTCGTCTGGAGCATCATCTCCTCTCGATCGAGAAAAAGCGCTGATACAGGAGTCACACCATGTTTTCTGCTGTCCACCATGACTCAGACAGTATCCAAGTTAGCTCTGCTGTTGCCTAGCCCTTGTGGTACGGCCTGTGGCGCCCTTGCCTGGGGTTGTGGACTGATGCTCCACAACTTTGGAAAGCTTCCAAATATTTGGAACCAACTCGTTCCAAAGTTTCGGGCCCAGGTTCGTTCCAAATTTTTGGAAGAAATTTGGAGGAACGCCTCCGTACAAGTTCCAAATACTGTATTTGGAACTTTGGAACTTTGGAACCGGAATTTGGAATGATTAAAATGACCCTTCAAGGCGGGGGGCGGTGGTCAAATTCGGAAGATCCACGGAGGGAAATAGTACATAAACGATGACACGGTATCCACGGGTTACACGGAAGACGACCACGATGATAACTATACGACGACCTCCATACAACGCACACAACGTACATACCGTAAATAATTGTGCATGTTATCGCACCACCGGTGTTCGGCGTTTTCCTATAGCGTATTTCTCCACAACTACGTAGGAGGGTGCGAACACCAACTGTTTAACTGACTGATACCTCTCCGGAAAGCCCTCGGCGAGAAATTTCCAAAACCACCCTTTTCGGAGGTGATACCTCCCTGGTTGTTGTGGAGAAATACGCTACAGAAAAACGCTGACACGGGGGTGTGATAGCACGCACAATTACGGTATAACACCCACCACCCGCGTACCGATGTACTGCGGGAACAACACATTTTGCTTTTTTGTGGGGGACCAATGGGGGACCGGCGTGGGGGTTGAGGGAAAAAAAAAAATCTTTGAACGAAGAGTTCGTGGAACGTTCCCCTGGCCGTTAGCTGGTGTTGCCCACAGGAAACCTCATCCACACCCCAACGCAGCACCGAGCCGGAGGCGTAAAGGATCTGTAGAGGCATGGGCACGTGCTTCCCAGCGGTTTGCATGGCAGCGCCCAGGTGCGCACAGCAGTGCTTTCATGTTTGTGTGGGGCAGACGGACGGTGTTGTACACAATGCCACAACGACGAGACTGCTGGCAGTTGTTCTTGTTTTTTGTATACGTGTGCTCTCCCACCATCTGGGTGCGGAACAACACCGTTCTACTGACGGTTTGGCATTGATCTCGCAAACGCCTCACACTTAGCCACACTTGATGGTCTTCGGGGTCGAGGGTCTAGCCAGGACCAAAGTTGGGTGCGCTGGGGTGCTCTTGGCCAGGAAGGGAGAGATTTGTGGTGCGTGATCCCCCGCACACACACACAGACGACGGGTTGTAGCCACGCATCGATTTCAAACCCAGCATATCAAGCTTCCTGCTAAAACACCGAAATGACACAACTGCAGGGCTGAATTCACGTAGTAGGAGTTCGTGCGAGACCAGTGCATACGTGGACATGGCTCGGGAATAGTACATGCGGAATTTACGTACGTCCGAACTCGTCTTACCTCTAACAACTGGACTATTTGCTACGTAGTTGCGCCGCTTCCTGTGCCGCAGCCGCTAACACCTACTCAGAACATAACCCTGTGTGTGTGAGGGGGAGAGCGAGAGAGACGTGGGGAGAGCATGAGAACGATGGATACACTTGCCGTGATACCCTCTGAAGCATCCCCGGTCCATGATGCAGACTAGTGCTGTAGGCCCCCGCACGAACGCCCGAAAGCTGCCGAACGTCGATTTTACTCATCCGGTGAGCTTGGGCGTTGTACAACCAGAACCCCAAATACGTGTTGCCGATGCGTACCGAGCGCAAAAGAATCATGGTATTGCTTCGCACCTCGTGCTGAGCGGGAGGGATGGACTCTTTTATCATTGTGCAGCAATACATACTCGCACCACACCTACCTTCGGTATTGGACACAAGATGACACAACCACGTAGGACAACATCCCTCCGCACACGAAATGCAACACCCTGTCCTAATGGGCTGGTCGCCCTGGTGGTCTAGTTGGTATCCTCGGAACCTTCTAGAGGTCAGGACAGGGGTTCGAATCCCGGCGGAAGCGAGCTTTTCCTGCAAAGTGAGTTTTTTTCTCGCTTCCGCTCCTGGACTAATAGTGGATATAGCGCTGGTTCGTGTGTACACAGAGGGAAGAGGGTGCTGAACTCTTCTCGCATTAAAAATCGAAGGCAAAGTACCGCAGGAGGGGAGGGTGGAGAGGGGCTCTTCTGTGTGAACACGGGTTGGAGTAAACGGCACTAGTGCTGTGAGCGCTGATTTGAAGCGAAGACAAAAAAAAAAAAAAAAAAACGTGGCACCAGGTATGCTGTCTGTTTTCGTCCTATTCATTATGGACAATCCCCTCATTTTTCGTGGTGAGACGTGTACTACACGTATTTCAGTGTATGTGAGTACTACACTCTTCAGTGTCGGTACTTCGGGTTACATATACTTCAGATATCACACACCACTTTTTGAGGTTATGACACTTGTAATCGCAGAGCCTTGGTCTTATCACCCCAGTCACGACACAGCCGTGGTCCCTGGTGATGTACATACCTGGCACAAGATGGCCCAGCAAGGCGCATACACGACACACCCGAATTGGCGGCACTACTGCGTAGAGTTAAATTCGACGCCTCTCGTTTTTTTATGGGATTTTACGTTTGGTGTCTCGCAGCCTCTCCCAAATAGTGGGGAGCCACCTTGGTCATCACCTCGTGTGCCTCTCACAGACCATGGCTGCGGCGTATATTGGAGGGGAGTCTATAAACAAGTTGTACCATTTTGCCCGTGCGCTGTTGATACGGTCTTTACTTGTAACCGGAGAAATGCTGCGCCATCTCGTCGAAAACGCAACCGTTCCCAAGTGCTTCAGGCGATTTTGTCCATCTCTTGTTTCTTGTGGACTCCTTCCATCGAAGCCGCTTCAACACGGTTATTTCGTGTCGCCACATGTATGACACTTGCCCACTAATTTGACTGGTTTGTCTTAATTGTCTCTTGCCCCTCCGTCGCAAACACTCCTCCGCCTTCCCCCCAGGCGATGGTGCGCTTGTTTCATTTTTGCGTTTGCTCTCCTCGTCAGCCTCGCGCTTCTGCGGCCACCGGGAGCAAGCCCCAGCCCCAGCCTAAGGCTGGTGGAGGGCGTTGATTGGCAGAACGCCCCGCGGATTGACCTGGTGTGTCGAACGTATGGCGCGGCCATTCAAATATTTTGGCAAACTTTCATCCCGACCTACCTGGTGAGCTTAATGTTTAGGGAGAAGGGTCATCCAGAGTAGGGGAGTCTGTTCAACGTTCGTATATTAGCAGAGAAGAGCTCTGAGCTCGTATGTGTATGTGAGGGTATGGCTAAGGGTTAAGGGGGTAGCCTCTTGTATACACACTTGTCCGAGGATTTCACCCACAACATGAACACCATCGCGATGCGACAAAAATACGTCGGGCCAGAACAGAAAGTACAAAATGCACATCATGAACGTTTCCTCCGAAAGACTCTGGTCCATCCATGGGCAACTAACAAGTCAAAAGTATCCTTTCTCACGATCAGATCGATTGAACGTAGGAAACAGACAGGAGAACCACCAATCAATCCGGGCCAAAAGACTTGGCTTCGTCTCACTGTATGCCCCAGCCCGTGCCTTGTTTTGATTGTGCATCCCCTTCTAGATACGGTCGGGCTGTGCGTGTCCTCGTTTAAGGACTTGAGAGGAGCAAGTAACCGCCGTCTCCTCCACGAGCGCTTCGATTGCGGTGGTCCATCCTGTGAAAGATGAACGTGTTGACGCACCGGTTCATCTTGCCTTACATTTTGTCCTCCATACTGCCCTCCGAAAAACCGCATGCTGTATGCACGGTGTAATTGGAAGACACCAGGGAATTTCATCACAGCCGGCGAGGACATACGACGACGTTGTTTTATTGATCTAGGCCCTCTCCAACCGCCGCAATTGTTTTTGTCCCACGCTGGTGGCGACCTCAGATGTTTTGGCCGATCTCGTCATGGAAGTCCAGCGGCCTCGTTGTCATTCTGGACGGTGATAGCGCTTTCGACCATAGGATCGGGACGCTCCTTCAGAATATAAACTTGCCGTCCAAGGTGCAAGTGAAATACGAGACTCCTGCCCCCCCCGGCACGCTCTGCAACAACTGGCGGAGCGAAGGTTACGCCAGACAGCAATACTCAAACTTCTATGCTGACTTGTACACGGATGCGGATTATATGGGAATTATCGACACCGACGCCGCTTTCATTTCGCCAGGTGAGTTGAAAATAAATGATCTTGGCATGAGTGGTTGTAACTCAAGCTGTAGCTCATGACATCCCTCTCTCTCCGTTATTGTAAGCAATATTTGATGAATTCTCAACACGAGCGCAAGTGTTAGATTTCAAATGCCGACATGTTCCAGGTTTGGTATATATTTTCAAGGTTGCTGGCGGGTTAGAAATTTTGTATGGAAACGCTGACGGCTGCTCTCGAGCCGTTGTCGAGGCGTAGATTGATGAGCACGAGTATCACCATTTTTTGCTTTTGACCGCCGCTAATTCCTGGGCAGAATATGTTGAAAACCCTTACTGACAACTGAACACTAACAAAAACGCTGCTCACACGCAATGTCTTGCCGTGCGTCCATCTCATCCCTGCCCGACTCGCGCCCAACCGTTGGTACACCGTTCGCTCTATCGGCGCTGCCATCAGTGGTTCCGTCTGATCTCTTCGACGAGGGAAAGCCAATCCTACGGGGCATGAACATTATCACTCAATGGCAAAGTGAGACCAGCAGGAAAGCCACCGGGGGCTTCCCGTACGTGGGCAGGTTCATGACGAGAATCGCGTTCCCCATCATCATTAAGTCTGAGCACTTCTCCCAGATGAGGCAGGTCATCGCGGAGAACCTGGGCGCCGAGACGTTTGAAGAGGCGTTCAAAGTGATCTGTTCGGCGGGAAAGGAGAGCTATTCCCAGTTCGAAATTATGATCAACTACCTTTGGTATTACCATCACGATGAGTACTCGTGGCACATTGCGGACCGCGACAACGGCGACTTCCACGGACTCAACCTGCAAGGGTGGGTGGGTGTTTCGCCTCGCCGTTGTTTTTCACTAGAAATTTGGTGACTACCACTGTGCCTGCCACTTTTTTTTCCCTCTGACTTCCGCTATATTTGACTTCCGTTGGCAGAAAATCCCGATCATGAACACCCAGCGGGTTTTTGCGCTGTACGCCTGTATGCACTCTTAGTCGCACATTCCGCCTGAATTGATGGAATTGGTTAGTCCCAAGCAGCAGTAGTACGTAACTTCCAAAGCCAAGTGATCTGATGCACACATGTTTTTCCGATCACATGAATGCGCTCTTGCACATATGTACTTGGAAGTATCACATGAAATGAGACACAAACGCCGACCTTCCCACCACGGCTGTTGCACCCTTGCTGTCGCTCTAGCCGTGCGAGGGCCTCCGATGATGGCAGTGTCGTGGCCGCGAACGTTCCGGCTATCTTTGTCATGAAGCACCTGGACGATAAAGACGTCTTCACCTTGAACGACGACATGTACGAGAACGTGTGCCTCGGCAGCAACAACGAGGCGGGGAACTGCCAAAGGCGGCCGCCGGCCCAGAATGACGGCCACGCACAAACCCTCAAGTGGTCTGTCGGGAGCACCACGTGGGGTGACACGTACAAGGATCACTCTCGTCGAGTCTCGCGGGCAGGGTCGGCGTTCCAGTGGCGAGGGGAAGAAGATGAAGATTGGGTTCATGTGGGCGGCCAGTGATCACCGCTGCCGTACCATTTGAAGACTGACTGTTTACTGTAAATGTGAATGTGGGATCGGCTGCGATGATGCCGACGTTTGAAGCGCAGTCGTGGGTGAGGAGCTTGTGTGGTACCTTCGGAACGTGCAGAGCAACCTAGGGATACTTGGGATCCTGGGATCGGCAAGGGGCAATGCCCGAAGTGTTTTTTAGCCTGTTTTGTGTACGAAATCTGAACAGCAGTACAGTAGGAATCCACCTCTACGAGTCTGTGGACTAAACTAAAGCCTGGGTAGATCCGGGATGTATATTTAGTGCTCCCTACGGCCCTGTGTTTTCAATCATTGTGCATTTGGCCGTACATAAGCGATTGTTTGTCTTCTATTCGTGTCGCGGCGTCAGACCGTAACACGATCGTAAATGTGTTAAGTATTGTAGTTCGAACGCGGTCGATTGAGGTGGTATTCTTTGGCAGCCTTTAGCCTTTAGCGATTCTTCCGCAGTATTTGTCATGATGGCGGTTTTCAGGGTGGTTCATGGATGTACGTAGTCTACCGTTGTAATTTTCCAACGTGTAGTTGGTGTTGGTCCAAATTGACAAATATTACTTCTCAGCCTCGGAACCCAAGAACCAAGAACCGGCAGAAATACGGACATGGAATTATCTGTATATACGCGAGAGGAAGGTGGGATCTCTCACGTTTGGTTGCGTTTGATTGAGTAGTTGGACACGGGCCCACAGCTAGTTCCGCACGGAAACCAACCCCGTTTTGGGTGCACTGTAGGCATATTGTAGCTTGCGTCAATTATTTGTAGCTAAAACATTAATGAGGTGGGTGGTGATCAGTAGAAGAAGCAGGTACGTACGTCATACACTATTCTAGTTCGGACCCATCGCGTGGCGTCAACGGAATCAAACGATCGCGTTTGAATGTGCATGAACAACATGCAACGACAGGGAAGGGGCCGTTTTATTTCCGACAGTATTGCAGATATAGACTACTGCAAGAAATCGATGGTAGTACCCCACCGCTCATTAGATAGTACCCCGCCCCACTCTAGGTGATAATACCCACTTTATTTATGCTATTAATATCGAGTACGTCTAATTCGGGAATTCAAAATTGGACAAAACCTTCCCATCATGAAATGGAACATGGCAACGAGTGAGCACGGAAATGAACTACGAAGAATGAATGATTAGAATACAGCTGTTAGTTAGTTGTCGTGCGCTGGAGGCTGGGCCATCATTGGGCGAAGGCGACCGTCTCGGTCAAGTATTGTCTTCGTATTTTCCGTCCAGCACTACTCAATGGACGATATCAAGATTTATTTCCCACAACACATCGGGCAGCTGGTTTAGGTTGTGACGCCAACGGCCATAAACATGTAATAAGTATGGCATCATGAGTGTGTCGGGGGGGGCGGGGGGAGGCAGTCTCCTCTCGGCACTCGGCACACTTCACCTTGAACCTGCGGAGCCCCCACGTCCATTCTGCGGAGCCCCGTAGCTGACTTCTCCTCCGGGTTGCAACTATCCTATCCCTGTGTACAGTAGTCAACACTGAATTGCCCACTGTCTGCTGCAGCAGTCGCATTTCTCGCAGAACGATGTCATCTCTCGCCTACACGGCGCCTGCAGGCACCAGCGAGCGTGTCGCAACGCTCCGCTCCCTGGCGTGCATCCGGGAACGCTGCGGGGTGATCTTCGATGCGGCGAAATCGGACAAGCTCGCCCACTTCCGTCTCGATCTCTCCAAGATGGACGACGTTGCCACCTTCGTGCAAGGTGCAGCATCAAGCAGTAGTGTATCGGAGCGAAGCTAGGGGGTTTGTGCGAGCTGTCCCTGCGTTTGTCGTGGTCCTGTTTTACACGGAAATAGAAACGCCCGGAGCATGTGATGTGCGCTGAGTTCAACATGCACAGCCTTGCCGTTCTTTTTGGCGACCACTCGCGCGATCTTCCCAACAACCACAGCAGTAGCTCTTGTACAAGTACAAGTACAAGTACAAGTACAGGCGTCGGGAGATGATAGCGCCATTTGCTTGCACTGCTGTAGACACCAAAGGACCGGAGCCCAATGCCGTGACGCTGCGCGTACGGTATACCATGCAAGCACACTATTGAATGGCGCGTCTCTCTTTCGTCGGTATTCAGCTGTGAGCCTTTCCGGGCCGGTGGCCCCTTTCTTGTAGGACGAAAGCATAGAACGAGGAAGCCAATTGACGGCGTTCATCAGGGGGAAACTGCTGTGCCTGTAGCATGGGATCGTGCACTATGTAAGGCTCGTGCATGCGGCAGTGCTCGCGCTCATAAGTACGAGCCACACAATAGCGTCGCTCAGCGTGGTTCAGAAGTAAGTGCGGCAGCAGTACGTGACGGTGTATATCATACCCCCCGCTCATGTGTGTTTGATTGTATGCTACATAGATATTTTCGAGAAGAGACCGTCTGTAGGTGGAGGCGAGGAGGCTTCAGATCATTCTGCCGCTGTAGAAAATCCGACTCGTCAAATCGCATGCTGTGTACTTATGGGCGAAAAGCAGAACCTGGAAAGCGAGCAGTGAGGGCCTCCCAGGAAATGAACTGCTGTGTTTCTTGCCATGATGGTGTACACCGCTGTATCTCGCAATCACAACCGTGAGAGCTTTCGAGGTACAAGTGAATGGCAAATGCTTGTTTATCTGTGGCCTGCACGATCTCATCATTCCTCGACTGCTCGTTTACCGCTACGACAGCCGTCACCTCTTATCATCATTGCATCTCATTTCATGTCATTTCATGCGATTAGGCGAGACGACGCTGTACCCTCTTCCAGCCTGGCACAGCAGTTTCGGGCCATGTGCGTCAACCCAATTTCCACATCAGAAATGACGCACACGTGACTACCCGGCGATGCACAGTCCGATGACTGCGGCACGTTCTGCACTAGCTGGACGAATGACGAAGCGAAGTCAGTCCCCCCCCTTCGTGTGCTCCCCCTGGAACGAAAGGCCTCATGGACCGTGACTACAGCAGCTACGACGACGTGCCTTACCACTCCCGTTGGCGGCACTTCGAGGCGGGCGGGCTCGACCGCACGGCGCGCCTTACAGCTGCCTGGGACGGCAGCAAGAGTTGCGACGAATTAGGTGGGTACCTGTAGAACGCAAAATAGCCCTTCTTGGTGTTTCGGTATCTCTACCTGTTGAATACCTCGTACCATTCCGTTTGAAAGGCATGGTCTTGTGGCGAATTTGTACTTCCACTAGGTTACCTATTTCGAAGTTCGTAGCAAGTACAGAGAGAGATATCAAAGAATCTCCGACGTGCGTCGGGTATATCGTTGCCCCTGACATGCACGTCTCCGCAGATCCCGATTCATCCAAACACGTTGAGGATCGGATGACAGGAAACCCCACAACCCTACATGTTTTCGGCTCTCATCGAAGCACCCACAACGCCCGATGATTCCGGTTCCCACGAAGCGTGAAGTGACGTGGAAGTAGTTTTCCATGCACCTTGGGAGGCGGTTGGGAACCTCACGGAAGGCTCGGCTGGCTATGTTGTCGCGAACCGCCAAGACTTTTTCTCACCTCTGTCTTTTGAGGTATGCATGCGTAGGCATATGATGGTCCTAGACTATACTACTTGTGGACGGCAATACCCAGTTGACTTTGTCCGAAGGTAATAGCCCCTTTCCGGCGTACGGTTGCCAACAACGGTGCTGATGCTGCTGCACGCTTTCCTTGGGGGCGACAAACATGCCAAACGACCAGAGGACCGTAAGACACAACATGATGCGATCCCTTGGTTTCAGTTTCCTCTTGCCTTCCCCTGTGCCCCTTCTTGCTCCCTGTCAGAATACCGCCGACCTCTCCCCCTTTCGTACTGCTCGATTCTAGTGTTTAGAGCGTTTGGAAGCACCTTCAGCCACAGACATGTCCGTATTGTCCACAAACGTGTCTGCGGTTGCCACTATACAACCTATTCTCAAGGCTACCTTGATGTTTAGAGCGTTTGGAAGCACCTTCAGCTACAGACATGTCCGCATTGTCCACAGACGTGTCTACGGTTACCACTATTCCAATTCGCAAAGCAACCTCTCGTAGCTGCTGCTTTGATCCCCGTCGCCGCTGGTGACGAAATCGCCATAACTCTTCCTTCCTAACTCGTGTTGGCAATTCCTCGAAGATATCTGGTGGATCCGACGCCATAATCACGTTTTAAGAGGCTGACGGTCCGACCGCATGTGTGGCGGAAAAGAAAAAAAAAACGTCCGCACGTGAGAACCTCTATTATACTTTTTCGGCCGTGGCTGGGATTCTTAGCTGCTGGGGAAATGCTGTGCATGGTCGCTATAGAGGTTTTCGTGTAGGGGTTCGAGGGCACAAATGGGGCTCAAGTTCTTGGATCGTTATTGTTTTTTTGGCTCATTTTTTTAGCTCTCACGTTCCCAAGTGCGGGAGCTTTCTGTTTTTTCAACATTTATTTCCTGGACTGCCCTGCCCTGCCCCGCCCTTCCCCGCCCTTCCCTGCCCTGCCCTGCCCTGCCCTGCCCTGCCCTGCCCTGCCCTGCCCTGCCCTGCCCTGCCCTGCCCTGCCCTGCCCTGCCCCCACCGACTGCTGTCTCAGAGAAAGCGCGGCGTCTGGTAGACCTAGTCGTCACCTCCGTGCTCCTCGATGCCGGCGCTGGCGACGTCTGGAAGTACACGGAAAAGTCCACGGGTTTCGAGGCGGGCCGAAGCGAGGGGCTCGGCGTCGCCAGCTTCCACATGTTCGGGGCCGGGGCGTTCTCGAGCGACACGGGCAGTAACCCACACCGGGCAGACTCGTTGGGGTTGAAGGGGCTCGCGGACGATTCCGTGAGGAGGGCGTTCCAGGTGGATGATGGCGTTAACCCTCTCGTGGGCTGCGACGGAAGAACCCAGGTCCGTGTGTAATGTGGTATGTTTCTAGAGTCTCGTGCTTGTTACTGCTGTACCTGTGTATGTTCTTCGTTCATATATTGTATGGTACGAGACTCCGGACCCTCTCACTAAAAGACTGCATGTGACAGTCTAAATGTATAGAGTCTCGTGCTCGTTATGTGTAGGCTATGGTGTTTCTGGTGGGCTGCGACGGGAAGAACCCAGGTCCGTCTGTGTTTTGGTATGTTTCTAGATTCTCGTGCCTACTACATGTATCTGTAGACTGTTATATGTTTCTGGTATGTACTTAAGAGTCTCATGCCTATTACATATGCCTGGTTTGTTTTTGGAGTCTCGCCGGTTCGTCGGTAGGGTAATTGGGCTCTATGGAAGACAAGCTTTTCCTTCCTTTTGGCTCTGGCAACCGGGGATGTTCCCTTCACGTCCCCGAGTCTACCGCGTGTGCCGTTTTCGTTACGCCAAACGAATGATTTTGGTGCAGGTGCTCAAGCGGTTGGGTACGGCCCTTGAACAACACCCGGTGTTCTTCGAGGCAGGAGGAATCTTTAGGCCCGGTAACATGGTGGACTACCTCCTCGCCCAAGCTAGCGACGACTCGAAGGTAAATATTCTGGCGCTGCAACAGACGAGATAGCGGGGCGCCTTCAAGGCCTGGGGCGAACGGATACGTGTGTAGACCGTACTACAACCAAGAGCAGAGTGGGGCTGGTGGTTTCGATTCTGTCACTATTGTACAATAGCAGACAGCTGAGGACAAAGCGCTTTCTTCCCTTGAATCGCTTACCAAATACTCTCTGCGCTTCTTTTTCTTCGAGCAGACCGTGTCCATCACCAAGGTGTGGGGGGTGGATTCTTCCCTTGGATATCTTTTGAATCGAATGTTCTCTGCGTGTCTTTTTCTTCGAGCAGAAAGTGTCCATCACCAAGATATGGGGAATGGTTTCTTCGCTTGGTTTTCTTTTGAATCGAATGTTCTTTACGCTTCTTTTTCTTCGAGCAGACCGTGTCCATCACCAAGGTGTGGGAGGTGGTAATGTACGGGTTCGAGGCCATGTGGCCTGCCGGGAGGACGGAGCTCGACGGGCGGAGCATGGGGGACGTTTGGGAGCACTCGGCTCTTCCGGACGATGGCAGCGGGTGGTCCAACCTCGTGCCTTTCCACAAGCTGTCGCAGTGGATGACATACTCGCTCATGGAGCCGCTGCAGGTGCTTGTCTGCTGTTGTTGGCGATGGTGGTAGAGACGTGCCCATGTCATCTCTGCAGGCGTGTCCTCGATAATTTTTGTAGTTGTTGGTGCAACTGCTATTGTTGTCGCTATGGTACGGAGTGCGCGCTATCAACCCATTTACACTTTACAGTTCAGGCAATCAGGCTCAAAAACCGTGCATAATTTAGATTTAGATTCCACCACTGACGAGGTAGTGGAGTGAAGTCTGATGAGCACGGTTAACGCAAGCATGTGGTGCTATCGCAGCCCCAACGGAAAATGAAGTCGTGTGGAAGTTGAGCGGACGGGGTACTACGGTGCACCTGCTGCTTGACGCCAACGCTAACGTGTAAGTGCACAACAGCCCCTTTTTTTGTTAGTGTTATCCTGCGTGACGCCGGATGATACTTGTACGCTCAATGGGCACGACTGGAGTAGACTGGCGCCAGAACAGGCCGGAAACGGAAACACAAGAAACGTGAACTTTTACATTTTTCTCCATCAACGTCAGAAGTCATTTTCGCTATCCCCTTCGTGATTATTTCACCGCCGCAGCAGGCGGCCGGGTTGGTCTTGACGGAGACTGAGCTCATGACGGGTCTACCGGAATACCGCAACGGGGGTCTGCTGTTGGACATGGGGCTGCTGGAAGCCAAGCACCCGGGGGTGACTGGACAAGCACATGGTCCAGAAGAAGAGGTGGGTGTTGGGTGTTGGCGTGCATTGTTTCAGGCTCATTTTCCCGCACGTTTATCCATATACCTGCGGCGGTTCATGGTGGTGCTTTAACCCGATGTCGTGCCCTCTTGCAAAGCGCGTGCGGTATTTTGCGTGAATGTCGTTTTTAGATTGTTAGTTGATGTGAAGTCACTTTGAGGAGGGTGTCGTACAGTTTCGTTGCCATCGTTTCCTCCGGTGCTCGCCCTAGAGCATAGCGTAGCATTGCGCTCGTTTGACTGACGTACGAAAGCTCACGAGAGAGTGGCCACGATTGCGGCTGTCGGCAACCAGTAGATCACCGCCGGAGGGCGAAAACAATCGCGACATGGTGTAATGTGCATACAACTAAGTGTCTAGACTTTACGGCATGCCGACGCTTTGGTTCAAGCATGCATCCTTTGATGGCGACTAAGAGGGCGCGTGATTGGAACTTATGATATCGCGCTGCCTCGCCAGGAATCGTGTACGAGGTGATTGTGTCTTTTGTTTTAGGGCCGTTCGAATCACAAATCACACCGACAACCAAGTCGAAGAGGAAGAGTATTGTAGTGTAATGTGGGAAGTCCCCATTTGGCGTTGTGTTCGTGCTTGAGATTTCTTCTTTCTTTGTCGATCGCATGTACATGTATGAAACCCTAACTCTAGCCCTAACCCCCCTAACCCTATTCCGGTGCAGGTTATCGTGGAGTGGAGAGCGCTGACGGTGTGCCTCTTGGACGAGGTCGCGGCAGCCCTTCGACAAAAGCTGGGCAAGACGGAGAAAGAGTTTCCGCTGGTCAAGGTGCGAGGCAGGGGGTTCGTTCGCCTAACCCTAACTCGCCTAACCCTAACTAACCCTAACCCTAACTAACCCTAACCCTACCTAACCCTAACCCTAACTAACCCTAACCCTAACTAACCCTAACCCTAACTAACCCTAACCCTAACTAACCCTAACCCTAACTAACCCGCCTCACCCTAAGTGTTGGCGGATCGGTTCGAACAGGTACGTGCTGTTGTCACGTGGCTCGCCGCCGGTGGGCACACACTTCAATCCGTTCTGTTTTTTTTTGTGGCGTGTGTGTATGATGTACGATACGGACCCGATATCAGGAAAAATACGTCTTTGTTTTTGTCACAACGGATGTACCACACAGAGTCCAGGACGAGTTCGGTACACGGAGTATTTGACAAGGAGAAACGACAAGAAGCGATGGCATCACGCCTGTTTTGTTTTTGTTTTTGTTTTTGTTTTTGTAGCGGTTGGGGGCCGCCATGCTTTGATTGATCGAGGCTTGTTTTTTGTTTTCGATTTGGGTACCGATTGAAGCTGCTCGTGCGTCCCGGCTCGTTCGCGTCCTAGTGATTTTGTTGCCCAGATACTTTCTGCCGCTGAAGCCAACACCGATTCGGGGGGGGAGGGCATGCAGAATCACCCCCCTCCCAGCTACCCCCATTCTTCGCCACCTTTTCTAAATGGTGCCGCCTCTGCTCCTTTTGCCGCGTTGTAGTTTGTCCAAGCAGGGTGCGTATTGTATTGTTTTTGCGATCACCAACGCCCGTCCTCAACAAGAGGCGAACTGTGTAACTGTCGGAAGATGCTGACCCCACCTCCCCCTGACGAATTCTCGGAACAGATGCTTGAAGGGGGCACGTGGAAGGCCGGCCGGTACATGGCAAAGACGCTCAGGCCGCAGACCTGCGGGCCCCCCATCGAGATCGTCAGTGACGGCACCGTGTTTTGATATATGATTCTGGGTCGTTTTGCTGGGCAGAGTTGGTCCTCTGCTTCTACAGTAGCCGCACGCGTTATTTCGAGGCGCAGATTGCGCGACCACTGAAGAAACGACTGTTGTTTCGACAGCCCTGAATAAGGTAGCGGCTTACTTCCTCTTTGAGGGAAACCAAGTTAGTGTACGGTGGAGTTCAAGTTCTTAGGTATGAACACTTTTTGACTACACCCTCAAGGTTTAGGGCTAGATAGACTTTAGGGGCCATTTATTGGCCCCCCATCTTCTTCCACTCTGTTTTAGCTCGCGAAGAAGGGCATTGTTGTCTCCTTCTTTGAACTCCACAAGGGGGGCGCCGAGGCAGGCGGGGGCAACTATAGTCTAGTGTGGATGCTTTGTAGAGTGGAGGAGTAAGAGGGTACATGACAGGTCAATTCGCGGGACGATACCGCGAGTTCAACAGCGAAGTTGCGCCGCTTCGATTTGTGCTTGGGTGGCAAGCGCTTCTTTCTACTCTAGGACTCTAGGAGCAAGTGCGGAAGAAGCACTAGAAGCACCTCGCCCACCGATGGCAGGAGGCACTGGGCAACCTAGACCTTGGGTTGTTACAAAGTCTCGCTTTCTCTCTAGAGGAGTAGCTTGAGAACCTCGTCCCGGGTTTACCACGCTCCCGCCAGCTGTTGGCATTTGAATGTCGGTCGTCCCGGTAGTCTGGTTGATATCCTCGAAGACCTTCTATTATAGTGGTCAGGGTCAGGGATTCGTATCCCGACGCAAGCGAGCGTTCCTTGCGAAGTGAGGTTTTCTCTCGCTTTCGTTCCTGGCCTGGGTGGAAAGCGCTAGTTCGCGTGTACACAAAGGGAAGAGAGTGCGTCACTCTTAACGCATAAAAAGTCGAGGGCAAAGCTTCGCAGGAAGGGGTGGGTGGGTAGTGGATAGGCACCCTCAGGGAGAGGAATAACTTTTCTGTGGTCACGGGTTGGAGCAAACGGCGCAAGTGCTGTGAGCGCTGATTTGAAGTGAAGACAAAAAAAGAAAAGAAAATGGCTTTCAGACAAGAAAACGCTCCTTTGGGGGGGCAGTTTTGTATATACCTGCACACACTATCCGCATCATCCAATCAGCGGGCGTCTTTTTCTCTTTGTTAGAATTTCGGATTGAAGGATCACTCCCATGTTCTTGATGAAGTGGCACCGCGTTCTGTATGGGGCATGGGGTACAGCAGCAGTAGTCGAAATGTACATGATGGCAGGGCTACCCTCTTCTTCCAGCAGCCTCATGCATGTTGCACGAAGAATGTCAGCCCGTGTATTTAGCTCGGTTTTGTACAGCTGCTGGACTCGACACATGATCCGCGAAACAGTCAGTGTACCCGTACTACTACTTTGTTTCGGGACGAAACTGCCAACAGCCAAAGGAGGCGGTCGCAGGAAAAAAAACGCAACCCGACGGCAGCAACAATCAAGTCGAGTTCACAAATTAAACTGAATCGATCATTCATTGACGCCCTCGCCTCCCAAAAAAGAGCAGCGGAATATTTTTTTACAGAAAAACATGCGCCCGTCGCATTCTACATTCAAAAACAGGAGAGAAAGCTCCCACAACCAAAATTGCACTGCATTACCATATTACGCGATCAGACTTCCTGGATTCAAGAGTCAAAATGTCGACAAGACGTGACTAAAACAACCGGAAAGGCACAAACACGAAGTGCTGAAAAAAAACAACAAAAGCAAAACACACCCGTTTTTCTTCTTCGAGCGAACAAGACACCATCCATCCTTGCCATACACGAAGAGAGGGAGACCCACGAAAGCCAAAATCGCGGGATGCGGGCAGTTGCAGACACCGTCTTCGATAAGCGTGCGCGTCCGCGTAGTGTAAGCGCCGGTATTTCTACGCGATTTAGAATGTTTCAAACACAAGCACACGAACAGGCTTTTCAAGAGCTACAGCAGTACCCGCGAGTAGAGCAGAGCTCGACTCACCCCAACCCCCCAAGACGAGCTTGGTCTCTTTTCTTGTCTTTTTTGGAGAACCAAAAACACATACACGAAAAAACCCACAATAAAACCATAGCATGAAAAATACAGACGGACCTCGTGGTTCCTACTACCAGCGATTTCACCCCGTCACTAGGACACAAACAATGAGTTAGCCTCATCCACTTATAGCACGAACGTCAACTGACGAGAGCAGGGGACTGGCTCTCCAGTAACGAGCGCTCTCCATGACAAAGGTGGAGACTACATACCTACCCCAGGATCTAGAACGTCGCGCTTAGGGTTTTCTTAGGGTTAGCGGCCGTCCCGGTAGGATAAGGACCCTGCGTTTACCCAAGCGCGCATCCTACAGGTGAGAAGACGCCGCCATCAAACAGAAGGGGAACAACGGGGTAATACGCCATAATCACGACCATGCAAGCGTTCGACGTGAATGGGTCCTAACCCCCCCCCCCCCCCCCCCCTCAAAAAATCCTCCAACAGTGTTCCAACTTGAAATAAAATAAAAGTAACCTTCAACACCGGGGCCGGGGTGCGACTAGACCTAACTACATATGTTATGTTAGGGTGACATGATCTCCGGAGAGCACAGTTTCTGGGCGCGGCATCCGACCTCCTCGTCATGGGGCGGTATTTCCTTAAGGAAAACCGACTCGTTGCTGCACACGATCAATAGCGTTGCGGTGAAAGACAAAAATTGACCTGACACACCAAATCAGCGATGTTCTGGACCCAGGACAATCGCGTTCGACCGACCACAAAGCCAAGTCACGTACCACCTCAGTCGCCTCCCTCCAAGCAATCGGGCCCCAGCTATTAGGCATACCGCCACATGACATGTTTCAACCGACACTTTCCAAGAGGCGATGCCTGAGCAACGGCTTTGCCACTTGTCCTACACCCTCGCCCTGACAACATGGCATTCGCCCCGCCCATCCCCTTGCGTGGGAATCTCTGGAACACGACGATGGTGATCGATTATCCCGATCGTTTTTCCTGCCACGCCGAGAGGCAGCATTCTCCAACAAATCGCATCACACCGGTTGACCCGCACCATCTCCGACCAATCAACTCGCGCCAAAAAATCGCTCGGGCCAATCATCTTCGAGAGCGATCGAGGTCCGGGTTGGTAGGGACGGGCAACTCCACTTTCTCGCCTCTCGCACACCTGCCACGGAGAAAAGCAGCGGGCATGGATAGGAAATTATCGTCGCAACGGTATTGGTAAACAAAGCTTCAAAGACGCTCGACCAGAGCAAAACCTCTCAAGTCACCAGGGGGTGGGAGTGCTCTTCTCTTTTGTCTTCTCGTTTACGGTTGTTTGTCGCCTTCCTTCTTTTCGAGTGCCATGACTGAAAATTGTCGCTGCTCGACATTTTACGAAAAATCTCAACATTTCTCCGCTTTGTATATCGCACGTACTGTGAATATAATTTTCTCTTCTTGTGGTATGATTGTTTCGTCTCACCTTCCTTTATGAGTGCCGTAACTAGAACAGCCGCCGCTCGGTGTGACGAGGAAAAAATCAGGTTTTCTCTAATTGGCCCATATGCACAAATGTGTTTGCTGCGGGTGGCTTGTTTCTCACCTTCCTTTGCTGGTAGGGCCATGACTACAAAAGCCAATCCGCTCATTTGGCGAGGACAACAAACCAGGGTACACCCAATGCGCTACAATCTATACTTTGCTGTAGCACAATATGCTTGTAAATGTTCGTTGTTAATGTTCGTTGTTAATGTTCGTTGTTAATGTTCGTTGTTAATGTTCGTTGTTAATGTTTGTTGTTAATGTTCGTTGTTAATGTTCGTTGTTAATGTTTGTTGTTAATGTTTGTTGTTAATGTTTGTTGTTAATGTTTGTTGTTAATGTTTGTTGATTTTCTCACCTGACGACGAGAACCGTGAGGTAAGTAGTCACCGAACACCCCACCAGCACAATCGCCGCCCACAGGGTCTCCATGAAAACGCCTTCGGCCTTATCGGACTCCTGAAACCGCCGGGAAACAAACGAAAAAAGCACACACACACACATGCATTGGTTGACCAGCTGGCTTTAGCGGTCGAAACAAATAATTGAAGACACATCAGATGGCATGGCGGGTTAGGTGTTTCCATCACTCACTGCTCTCCTCTACCAAAAACACACGAAAAAAAAAGAACTTGTCCTGTGTAAACAGCAAAAATGTGAGACGACCAATCGAAGCTTCTGCTTTGGTGCGACTCCGGCGCGTAAAAAAAAAAAAAAAAAACACACACACACACCTTGCGGATAGAGTTGTGCTTGACGAACACCCTCTTGAAACGGCCGATGCCGTTGCCCGTCTGTCCGTCCAGGATGGGATGATTCGCATCGTTTGCCAAGAACCCGTCGTCGTCGTACGCGTCCGAAAAGCTCGTCGCGTACTCCACTACCTGCACGGTGGCAGAAGAAGGGAGGGGGGGGGGGGGGGGGTCGTCACGCCCTTCTGCTATGTAGGGGCGGCGCACTATCAAACGCATGGTGCGGGAATACCACTGGCCTTTAGGACGGATCCAACACGAAGAGGGCAGTAGCACGTCCGCAAGAGAGGGGAGAGACACCACCAATCCTAAGGGCTTGATCGCCATCCTCCTCTCATGACGGAAACTCGTGACTCAGCCGGTCATAATTGCGGCTCAACTAGCCGAGGGACTGTCAACAAACGGTCCTACGCAGCGTGGCTGCCCGGAATAGGCTTCAGTGGACGTGAAAATTGTTCATCACGTTCTTCTAGACAGGAACAAGTCGCACACATGAGGCAAAAAAGCGACAGCGCATTATTCCTGCTGAGACGCAATTTGTAATAGCAGAAAGACCAGGATCAACGTTTTGATGTCCTTGTGCTGGTGGCCCTTGGATTTCGGCGCCTAAGACAAAAAACATCGCAAAACAGCACTGAAACAAAAATACATATTACAGTACACAGAGCGAGAACGTTCGGCACGGTACGGTACCGTACGGTACCGTAGGCACGGCAGGAGGAACGTCCAAAACTCCCTTGAAACCCCGGTTGGCACCAAGCGCATACAGGTACACCGAAAGGTGCAAAGACTTTCGGAAGTATACGCATACGGCGCCTAGACACAGTGGGATGACACACACACCTACCGCTGGCACGATAAATACGTGTTTCATTGGTTACAGTAGCGGCGGTCAGCGCCGTCGATGCAAATGAAAGAAAAACACAAGAAACACATGTATCCCTTGGACTTCAAACCGTGTTCGACTGATAGCAAAATTCAAGAAATCCCCATATGTGTCTAGGATCTTCGGGCGGGCGACGGCCAAAACGTACGCTAGAACAAAAACAAAAAAAAAACTCTTTCTCTTAACTCGAACACAATGGCACCAACAATCCACCCTCTCTACACCACCCCTACTCGCCTCTGTGAAATTTGATTGGTCCCACGGGCCGCAGTCCTGACAGTCCGTGCCGTCGGCGCACAATCCCACCGCTCGCCGGTCGTCGCACACCCCATCTCTTGCGAACCGGCACGTGTTGGTGCACCTGCCGTCTTCTGCCAGCTACTCCGACGAACCAAAGGCACAGAGCAAAGACAAAAAAACACGGGGAGGGGGGAGGAGTTGGCAAGAGGTTAAAATCGATAGGTATGATGTTCATTCCAACAAGCCGTACCAAGTGGCATGTTCCCGTTGCCATAGAAGGGAAGGGAAGGGAAGGGAAGCACTTGGGTAGGGGGCCTCCGAGAGAGGAACATTTTGGTGTGACTGACCACGGATTGGAACGCTCCTTCCCGACAGCAATGCTACGAATGCTGATCAAAAGTGATCACAAAGGGGAAGAAAAAAGCTCACCTACTTTACATACTATCATAGCTCTGGGGTCAACGGTACATAACAGAAGAAACCTGCGGCCACGACAACGGTGGTGGACAAAGCCTACAACACCAACAATTACAGCAACAATTACAACGACGATGACCACAACGAAGCAAGAGTTACCTCTAACCCGCAGTCCGTGCAGTCTGTTCCTAGTGGGCAGCTCGGGGAGTTCACCAAGACGAGATCGTCCGAGTCTTCCCCTGGCATGGCGGAGCTTCCCAGATATCCCCTGAAAAAAAAGACACAGATATCGTCAGACAGAGTTCCGTTAAGCGCGGCGTCAGTTACGATGAAGTTGAATTGTCTCGTGCGGTTGATGATCCAAGTTACGCCAACCAAATTCCCATCAACTGCGGCGTGGGAGCTGTTGATTCGTCTTTCCCGCCAAACGACCCAAGCTACTGTACCTACTACTTTCTTTCCACTTGTGCTGCAGTACAGCAGTGCCGGCCCGCCCACAAGAAACCTCTCTTTTGAGAGGGACTCAAAGCTTATTTCGTCCCCACTACTGAGGAAAGGCTTTTAATAGGATTTCATGTAGCACCGGCCGCTAGCTCAAGTTCTCAGGGCCTTTTCCCCGACTTTGTCTAAAATCTGAGCCTCGGTTTCTGACGAACATGTTTCTTACGAGCGGGCCGGCACCGCAATGAATGATCGATTCATAGGTAGGCAACGGGCAATGTCCCGCGTAAGAAAGACCCTGAAGACACCAGTGTAGACACCAGTGTAGCTGTGATAGTCAGACATGTCGTCTGGTCCAATAGCAGTCTGGTAGGCAGCCAATGCGTACACATCAAAGCCTGATCATCTGGAGTGCGTTGCATCCCTATATTACAAGAGGACACGTCATTGGCCAAATCACCTGTATTCCACAAGCGCACCCCGCAAAACAAACAGGACGGAGTCGCCGAAAGTTTGATTAGCCCACCCACGCCTACGCGCGGCTCGATTTCTTCTATTTCTGTCCATAGTGAACTATTTGCTGCTGTTGTCGAGCTTGGTTGGTATTTTTACTGCAGCCAACGTGATTCCGTACAGCAGTATTCTACAAGTACATACGCTTGGCCTCTTGGAGCGTGTTTGTTGTTTTCTCAAGAGACGGCGCGTATTCCTCTTTCGGACGCTACGTCATAAAACGCGGCCCTGTGCATGATTCCACCCGCCTTTCTCGACTTAGCTACGCGGTATCTCATATTGGTTATGCGGTATCCCATTCTCCGCTCATGGTCCCGCGGGCAGTATTAATAGTACACTGGAGACATCACCTGCTACCGCTGGCTTGGCTGGTGAACGACTCAGACTCTCCAATGCTGTCCGTCATGGCGCCAGACCAGTTCACAGCCTCCACTCCGTCCTGGAAAGAAACACACAAGACAACAATACGAAGAGGATACATGAGCACAGAGAAGAAAAAACGACCGAATTCGTCGCGCCCAAAGAACAAATAACAAATAAGATCGTTCGAGAGAAAGTCGAAAACTGCAACACCCAGACACTGCTATTAGTATCGAGTTTTCGGTAGTGATGGTTGCCGGGAGTGTCGGTGTTGGTCAGACGGCAGCAAAACAATGAAAGAGATCGTGAGGACAAAAAAATCACGCGAGATGGTATCCTGTAATGTCTTGTCGAGCCTGTTAGATACCCACAGGGGAGATATCGCTGTATGATGCTCACGGAACCGTAGAAATTCAACTTGGCCATCATATGCATACAACACCATGAATGCATTGATATTCTATCACAGACTCTTTTCATCTGTGGAAGAGATGAACTACAAATTGTTGTACACATGAACTACAAATTGTTGTGTTTTGGGTCACACAAAAAAAAAAGAGTTTCTATGCATACTGACTCTTATCTGTGGAAGAGATTACATTGTTGCATTTTGTAAAAAAAAAAATGTTTTATATTAGAAATAGTGTACCCGGTCTTCGTCGCACTGCCCGTCATTGGCGTAGACGCAGCTGTCCTCACAGTTGAAGGTGGCGTCGTCCTTTCGAACCTCCGCGATCACGATTCCGCCTGCCGTATGTACGTGGCAACGAGTCAAAACAGCGAAAGCGATAAGAGTCGCCTGAGAATGCCTTTTGTTTTGTTGGGGCGTTGTGGCGTCACACAACAGCGGCAACAGCAGCTCAGCAAACAGCAAACACCACCAGAGGAAATAACAACAACAACTGCAACATCACCACCAACGACAGCAGCAACAGCAGCATTCCAGGGGTTCAGCAGTACATGTACCGTCGAGCGATTTCGTCCGTCATGCACGACGTGCTTCCGAGCACTCTCCGCTTCCAATCATACAGCAGTACTCATGATTCACATTCGGAGAGAACAAGAAGAAAAAGAAAGAGGGAGGAAACAACCAAAAAACAAGAGGACGTCACGAACAAAATCCGGGGACGCTAGACGACCACCCCCGCTCTTAACCGCATGCCAAGTGTTGTCCCCCTTCGAGATGTCGTTACGATAAGGGTTAGAGTTTTGGGGCTACAGGTTTTTTATATTTGTTTCTCTAGAAGTACCTTACAACCCTGTTTGGTGGACGTACCACATTATACGCGCCTAGAGCAGTTAACACAACTGAGCCGAAACAAACAAAAAAAATTGTTTACACGACAAGGGACAAATAAAGAGGAAAGAAAAAAAAACAGGGGACGCTGGGCCATCACCCCCCCCCCCCCCCCCCCACTCAGGGCAAAAAGGAAGATCGCACCACGTTGTCCTACAATTGGTCAAGCATCCTCCAGGGAGTTACACAGTGGTTCTAACTTTTTCTGGAAGTGAAAGCACCAGAAAAAAAAGTACGCCACTCCCAGCTGTCATCCGTATGCAACGAAGTAAGCACGGGATGCCAAACACCCTTAGCAGGTTGCAGCGCACCCTCCGTGCGACTTGCTGAATACCTCACGGCGCTTCGCGCTTGGGGATGTGAGGGCCTGGTCCGTTGAAAACCCGGTGTGCTCCCTCCCGGGATGCGAGGTCAATGGTCTGACGACTATGACATGGACGACTATGAGTACCCCCCCCCCCCCCCCCCCC